ACTCAATGTTGACATATAGCAATTTAAACCACACAATCTAGCAATCTCTCAACTTGAAATTTTCAAAATACTATACTAAAATCAGTTCAGTGAAAGAACTGGTGAGAAATCGTAACAAACAAAAATTTCTGCTGACAAGGGACACAGCTTGAGTTTTCCTTGGACCAACATGGTGAGGTCATACTCCAACAAGTGTCTTCTACCTTCGACCTTTGTACAATGGAATGAACATACCTACACATACACATACAAACATAATAAATAAATGATAAAATATAATTATATTGAGGTATATGTGTTGGATGAAATGTTATATAAAATCAATACATATATAAAATTAGTTGAAATTCACTTGCAAAATATCAATAGCTACAAACACCAAGGGCCCATCCCTGCAATCCAAGCTTCCTGAAACCATATTTCCTATGACAAATACTGTTCTTATTTTTTAATTATTTATTTATTTATTTTTGATTTTTCAAGACAGGGTTTCTCTGTGGCTCTGGAGACTGTCTTGGAACTAGCTCTTGTAGTAAAGGCTGGACTCAAACTCACAGATATCTGCCTGCCTCTGCCTCCCAAGTGCTGGAATAAAAGGTGTATACCACCACTGCCTGGCTGACAATTATTTTTAAAATCCATCATTTTTACATTTTCATGATAAACATGTAAAATATGATTTCCTAGTATGACTATTTATTTTTGTGCTCCTGCAGAATCAATTCCTATAAACTCATTAAAGATAGATCCTAATTTCTATATTTAACATTCATAAAAGAGGTATTTCTCTGTAAAATTGGTTTGAGAGGAGCAAAAGCATAGTTATTCAGCTCATAGAGGATAATTGCATATGTATCCTCATTTTCACTCCTTCTAGTGCTCCTTTAATACAGTACTGATTAAGTGTCCAGTGTCCTACAGATTGACATATTTTATTGTGTTCTTTTCCTATGTATCACATTTCTTTTATTATTATCTTCCCTGGCATACAACATGCTACATGCTTTCTGTAATCATGAGAAGTCTTCATTACTGGTTCCTCTATCTATATGGTAACACTAACCCTGACCTTTGCATATTACTCCCTAGGGAGGACCCACCCTTGCTAGTCTGAGATAAAAGCTAAGTTGACATCCTGTGGCTAGTGATCAGGCTCCACAGACTGCCTACTCAAAATGAAGTTTCCTGTTCTTCTGTTGGCACTGCTGTTGTTCATGATTCCTGGTGAGGACAAATGGAAGTGAGAAAAGAGGATGGATAGGGAGGATTAACCCTAGGGCCCTCTGCTGATTACATGTATTCTATCTATGTTTGATAAGACAAGATATATCTCGTCCTACAGGAGGGGAATGTGAGGATTACATCTATTACAGGGAGGATTCAGATAGAAGATAAGTTGTTGTATAATGAATATTATGACACAGAACAGCATGGTATAATTCATGCCTTGAATCCCTTTTAGGGCTTTCAATTCATTAGGTATATCAATAAAGGTATTTTAATGTATAATGAATTATATGTAAAAATAAACATCTCATCTGAAATAAATATAAAAAAGAATACATAAGGATTTTTTATGAAGTGTGTCTTTAACATTGACTTCTCTGTCTGTATTTCAGCTTCCAGAGGTGATGTTGTGATGACCCAAACTCCAACTTTCTTGCCTGTCAGCCTTGGAGAGCAAGTCTCCATCTCTTGCAGGTCTAGTCAGAGCTTTGTATATAGTGATGGAAACACCTATTTGAATTGGCTCCTTCAGAAGCCAGGCCAGTCTCCAAAGCTTCTGATTTATAAGATTTCCAAACGAGCTTCTGGGGTACCAGACAGGTTCAGTGGCACTGGGTCAGGCACAGACTTCACACTTAAGATCAGCAGAATGGAACCTGAGGATTTTGGACTTTATTACTGCATGCAAGCTTCATATGTTCCTCCCACAGTGATTCAGACCCTAACAAAAACATCCTTGCTTGGGGTGACCCAGCTGACGAGTATGTTACTTATTTCTGTGTAATAGAGGTACTGTGGTACTCCAGATTATTGCTTGTAGCTGAGGGACTTGTAGTATGAGCACCTGCATTGGGTACACCTCAAGGGTCAGGAGTCTCAGTTCTCTTTATTTGCAATAACATTGAAATTGCCTCAGAAAAACCGTGAAGAGGGACATTCTCAAAACCATGAATGATGGGCTTAAGACTGAGTGAAAACCCATTTTGATAATACAGAGATTCTCTGCTGTCTTTATTCAAAATTATCCTGTGAAGCAGACAGAAAGTGAGACACATCCCTTCTTTAACCTGTCTCCTGTACTATATAATTAATTCATTTTTACATTTGTGCTTTGACTTAAATTCCATTTTATTATTATAACTATTGCATATTCTATTTCCATTTGTTTTCTCTTTGTGTAAAGTATGATTTGGACTCTGTAAGTTAAGACTCTGTTGTTACTGGTGATTTTTTTTTTG